CTGCGCGCTCTCCTCCTCCGCCGCGCTCCTCCCTGATTGGCTGGCGGGGTGATCAGGTGACAGCGGCCGGTAGCCAATGAGAGGCACCGCATAGGACTCCACCCCTGGCAGGTCGCACCCGCCCGACCGCAGGTTCCTGGGCAGCATCTGAAACCACAGCAGCAGCAGCACGACAAATTAAAGCTGCACTCCGGAACATGTCCCCCGCTCGTCTCCACGGAGATGAGTCTGGAATGTTCCACAGTAAACGTACGAATCTCCATGGAGACGAGCAGGTGACAGTACAGGTCTGATCTGCAGGTTTTTGAGCTGTAGTCGAATAAACGCACAACAGATGAGTTTAAAGTCGCACTGTGGATTATTTACATCAAAGCCTCCACATCTCCATGGAGACAAGCCTCCAGAAAAGTCCCACAGTGTCACCTTCCTCTTCTGACACTTCGAAAACGTCGGGTATAACAGTTATTTGAGTTTGGAACTAAATATTTACTGACGAGGTCCAGTCTGGGGCGGTTTTCTGATCCGTGTTTTCTGTTCCTCGTCACAAACAAAACGCTCTGCTCCACCCTGTGATGTCATCAAGTGGTCGTTCTGCAATGTTCACAGATCCAGATGATTCTAGTGAAGGTGTGTGGAGTTTAAAAACACATGTTTAGTCCTGGTTTAGTCCTGGTTTAGTCCTGGTCCTGGTCTAGTCCTGGTTTAGTCCTGGTTTAGTCCTGGTTTAGTCCTGGTTAGTCTGGTTTAGACCTGGTTTAGTCCTGGTTTAGTCCTGGTTTAGTCCTGGTTTAGTCCTGGTTTAGTCCTGGTTTAGTCCTGGTTTAGTCCTGGTTTTGTCCTGGTTTAGTCCTGGTTTAGTCCTTAGTCCTGTTTAGTCCTGGTTTTAGTCCTGGTTTAGTCCTGGTTTAGTCCTGGTTTAGTCCTGGTTTAGTCCTGGTCTAGTCCTGGTTTAGTCCTGGTTTAGTCCTGGTTTAGACCTGGTTTAGTCCTGGTTTAGACCTGGTTTAGACCTGGTTTAGACCTGGTTTAGTCCTGGTTTAGTCCTGGTTTAGACCTGGTTTAGACCTGGTTTAGTCCTGGTTTAGTCCTGGTTTAGTCCTGGTTTAGACCTGGTTTAGACCTGGTTTATTCCTAGTTTAGTCCTGGTTTAGTCCTGGTTTAGTCCTGGTTTAGACCTGGTTTAGACCTGGTTTAGACCTGGTTTATTCCTGGTTTAGTCCTGGTTTAGACCTGGTTTAGACCTGGTTTATTCCTGGTTTAGTCCTGGTTTAGTCCTGGTTTAGTCCTGGTTTAATCTGAAGTAGTAGTTTTCCTTTATCCTTGAGTTCAGTCGAGATCAGCGGCTCCAGGACTGAAATGATCCAGGTGATTCTAGTGAAGGTGTGTGGAGTTTAAAAACACAGTGGAGCACTTCCTGTATCACCACATGATGACATCACAGGGTGGAACAGAGTGTTTTCTGTTTGTGGGTTTGTGTGTGAAACAAGTAAATGAAACGAAACACAAACTCCAGTGAGCGACGAGGAAACGACATCAGACCATCGACCTCATTTGCCTGAAACAAACCTGCTGCTCCCACAGAACAGTTTGCATATGAACCTCCTCCTCCTCCTCTTGTGGCTACCCGGCTGACACACTGAGCACTTTGTTGGGGTTTTAGTCTAAGTTCTGAACGGACGACTGGACGATTCATGAACTCCCTGACACTGTGGCTGCCCAACTAAAAATGTCATTAAAAAAAACTCTTCTAAAATAAAATAATGCAGCTTTAGTCCAGACACATGAAGTCAGATTATAAAATATATTTATTTTGTTTCCAAATGAGTTTAAACGGTCCAGAGTCGACCAAAAGGACCAGAGCTAAACAAGGCCCAGGTCTGATTAAACTGTTTTTCTGCTCTTTTATTTTGTATATTTATTTGTGAATTATGATCAAGCATAATGATATAATGATATATATATATATATATATATATATATATAAAATGTAAATGTCCGTGTTTATATTTGTGTTTTATTCACTGTTGTTGGTCTCCGGCTCTGAGTCGTCGTGTTCTGTCGTCGTGTTCTGTTCCTGCCTCTTGATTCTGTATCTGTGTTTCTGATCTGACCAACAATAACCTCCGTTTACCTTCTGCTCTTTGACCACACACCACACCTCAGACTCTCACGGGAGTCGAAGTGCAGAGTGGAGGTTCGAGAGACGGACGTTAGTGACGTTCGATTGTGTGAAATGAACCGTTTGTTTTTCTTGTTTCCATGGAGACCGAGCAAGAGGCTTGAAACAAATCAGACTGAAGATCTGAGCTGCACATGACTCGATTTATAAATGTGCCATAAATGTGTCCTCCAAACAGGAAGTGAGCCTGGGAGCAATTCTGGCTCCAACGACTCTGGCTCCCATCGCCTTTACACTGTCGCCTCAATGAGCTTCATTTGACTGGAGCTGAACACTGCAGTGATGTCGCGCTCCCTCCGGACACTTCTTCAAACTCTCTGTAGATGCGGCAAACTTTTAACACCGAATGTGCCAGAACCTTCCAGAGGAAACACAAAGGGAACGATCTGTTTCACCGACGACTGAAAGAGCCAATGTTCTGTCGAAATGAGCTCCCACATCCTCCACAGCGACGTGGATTCACGCTGCCCCGTCCAAATAAGCTCCTTACGCTTTTCCGTTTACAGTTGTATAGATCCAATAAAGCCCGACCTCTGACCTCTCCAGTTTGACACATTTTTCTCTGGATTAGTCATGGTTTTGATGTTTGCACTCAGTGGTATTTTACGGTTTGGTTGTAATTGTTGAGTCGCCGAACATAACGGAACAACACAATGACACCGAGATGAAGAGAACTGGGACATTTTCTCATTTCTCCTACATTTTGTCAGAGTTACTAACGCAAACAGAACCCAAATGTTTCCAAACGTCTTCCTAGTTTCTGATGTACACGTGAACAGCGCTGATATAAACACGTTACAAACAGGAAGTGAGCATCGACTCGTCATTTTGGTCTTAAATGTTCATACTAACGCTCTACATGATCCTGGTGTTTTTATTTCACTGTTTTGTCTGTAAATAAAATCCTAGTCCTGGTATGAACCTGGCTCCTGTAACTGCCGACCTCGATGAGCTTCATTTGACTGGAGCCGTCACTCTCCCTCAGGACACGTCTTCATACACTCTGTGCTCCATCAGCATCGTCAGACTCACATCCTGGTTCCAGTTCTTGAGAGTGAAACACAAATTGAAATCTCCGGTGGCATAAATTAGGTAAAATCGCAGGTAGGATCCGCTCCGTAACTCCTCCCACCTCCCCGTAACTCCGCCCACTGCTTCATAACTCCTTCATACTGTCACTGTCTCTATCCGTATCTTTCTAAAACGCACGAGACTAAACCACATCCGCGGCGGCGCGTGTGGGCTCCTGTGCGCATGCGCTGTTCGCTCTTCGCTGCCTCCGTATTTTGTGCGCTGTGATGTGGGACGTGATGTGGGAGCGCGGTAAAGGCCCACGGAGCCCACGGGGGGGGAGGGGGGTCGTGGGTCCCGGACGCGGAGTGAGCCGCGCGGAGCCGCGCGGAGCCACGCGGAGCCGCTCGTCCACGCGGCGGAGCGCGGCCGCGTCACCAGGTGCGCACCGCGGGCACAGCGGGAGCAGCTGTGCGCAGAGAGCCGAGTCTCCGCTCTGCCCGAGCCGCAGGAGCCGGGAAAAGTTTGTGTCTGTTTGTGTTTCGGCCAAAACGATGACGAAGAGAAAAGTGAAGGCGCCTCGTGCGCGTTAATCCCCCAAACAGAACACACCCAGACCCGCGCGCGCGCTTCAGGAAGAGACTCACCCTCGGTCCGAGTGGTCAGGGACGGACTCTGTGGACGGACCGGCCGCTCGGGAAGACTCGGTTCGGATCAGCCGCGACGAGGCGAGTCCATCCGCTCCGTCCGCTCCATCTGCGCCGAGAGCCGCGCACCGCCGGCTCCGTCTTCACTATCACCGGCCGCAGATCCGCAGCTGTTGGCCGCCGATAGCGCACTGAGCCACGGACTGATCCCCCTCCCCGGCCGCGTGACGTCACAGTTCCTGTCTGTTTGCACTCAGCGCTTTGGTAACCGTCTCCAACCGCCCTCCCGGCTCATAACGGCTCCCCACGGCTCTCCAACCGCCCTCCCGGCTCATAACGGCTCCTCACGGCTCTCCAACCGCCCTCCCGGCTCATAACGGCTCCTCACGGCTGTCCAACCGCCCTCCCGGCTCATAACGGCTCCCCACGGCTCTCCAACCGCCCTCCCGGCTCATAACGGCTCCTCCCGGCTCTCTAACCTCCCTGCAGGCTCTCTAACGGCTCCTTATGGCTCTCTAACTACTCTCACAGCTCTCCAAAGGCTCCTTACGGCTCCTCACGGCTCCTCACGGCTCCTCACGGCTCTCTTTTTAACCTCCCTCCTGTGGTCTTGGTCTTCTTTAACAGCTCCTCGTGGCTCTCTTAACGGCTCCTTGTGCACTCATGGCTCTCTAACTGCCTCTTGGCTCTCTACGGCTCCTCTCGTCTCTCCAACGGCTCCTCTTGACTCTAACTGTCCTCCCGGCTCAGACTTAGTTTAGTCCTGGTTTAGTCCTGCTGTAGTCCTGGTTTAGACCTGATGTAGTCCTGGTTTAGACCTGTTGTAGTCCTGGTTTAGACCTGTTGTAGTCCTGGTTTAGACCTGTTGTAGTCCTGGTTTAGACCTGTTAGTCCTGTTTAGACCTGTTGTAGTCCTGGTTTAGTCCTGTTTAGTCCTGTTTAGACCTGGTTAGACCTGCTGTAGTCCTGGTTTAGACCTGTTGTAGTCCTGGTTTAGTCCTGTTGTAGTCCTGGTTTAGTCCTGCTGTAGTCCTGGTTTAGTCCTGATGTAGTCCTGGTTTAGTCCTGATGTAGTCCTGGTTTAGACCTGCTGTAGTCCTGGTTTAGACCTGTTGTAGTCCTGGTTTAGACCTGCTGTAGTCCTGGGACATTTCTTGTATAAACTGGGACATTTCAGTGTTTTTTATATAAATCTGTGGGACAGAGACACAGACTCAGGACTGGGACTGTCCCGGGAAACAGGGACAGTCTGGACTCTCTGCTCCTGCTGCATCAGGGCCCAGGGTCTGTGGGGGCCCCAGGTGATTTCCCATTTGAATTAAAGTAAAAAATAATAAATAAATAAACAAAAAAACAACAACTTAGATTTAGATTTTATTGATCCACAAGGAAATAGTTTTACAAAGCAGCAACACACAACACAGAAATTATAACAACACATCTGAGCATCTGATTTGTTTTTTGTTGTTTTGTTTTTTAAATTGTTATTAAAAGGCAAATGGAAAAACAAAACTTCAACAGAGCCGCTGTTCCATTGTGCGAAGATATTCATAGATCTACAACTTTCATATGTCAATGGCTTTTTTGTTTAGACTTTTAGAAATATTAGATAAGTAGAATAAAACAGAACAAAACAGGTAAAAAAAAATTACACTGGTGAATATAAACTTTGCCTTTTTTTTTTTTGAGCCTAAATTATTTTTATATAAGCCAAAAAAAAGTTCAAAGTTTAATAAAAGTTTGCGTCATATATGATCTTTGATAAGTTTTAACCAGTCTTTCCAAAAAATAGTAATAGTAATGTTGCATTTCCCAAAAATATTATTTATTGTTTCAAGATATTATTTACAAAAAGTGCCGTTTGGGCCAATTGTTTTAATATATTTTAGCATAAATTTATTAGAATGGTAAACTTTGTTCATAAGTTTGAAGGAGAAAAGCCTAATCTTATTATTTATTATAAAGTTTTAATTCACAGTCCATCATTTTTTCCAAATAGTGTCAGGGACAAATTTTCTCCAGTAAAAACTTGCAGAGGACACAGAGGAACCTCCTGCTGGAACAGAGCTCGTGTAACGGAGTTAAAAAGGCACATGTTACTATTTTCTGGGTGTATTTTATGTTTAATTAAAGTTTATGTTCATGTTATCGTTTTTGCGTTTTATTTTGAAATCCGGAAGTGCGCAGCTGCTCCCACGTCTATTTTATTTTGGTAGTTCCACTTCCTCTCAGGAGCCGCTGCGGGGGTGAGTCTGTCCGGACTGAAAAAGAATATATTTAACAAAAACAACGCACTTTTATCATAAATACAGGAACACATGTTGATAACACGACGTTTTCACATGTATTGGATGTATTGTGGCGCGCTAACTTTGAGTTTTGTAAATTTTATTTGGATTTAAAAAGTTAGCTTAATATTGTAATATTGTAATGAATGGCGGGAAAATGAGCGGCTATTTTATGATTTTGTTTGGATTTTTACAGGAGCCAGAAACTGAAGATATTTTTAGAGAGTATTTATATGTCTGCTACAGGTAGGTTTTATTTTATTTTATTTTTGTAAAAGTTGTAAATTGTGTGTAGCTCCCCTGGTTTTCTTCACAAAAAAGGACTTAACGCTCCGTCCTGATGATCATGTGTCAATATTTATTTTTAGTCATCTTCAACTCCATCAACGCTTTGAAACACCGTGAAAACTAAAATAAAGACAGACACAGAAAAAGGCTTAGGTTTACATAAATACCTTTAAATGAATGCAGAACAGAAAACAATTTATATATTTACCGTGTTCATCTGTACAACACCAGCGGGAGTTAAGTAGCGCGTCTTTCATTTTGACGTCTTTTCTTTACACATTTTTCTGTGTTTCTCTGTGTCATCTTTTTCTCTTTACTTCCAGGGGCAAGGTAAAAGGTCACGTAACTTAAAGGTAAATATTTTCACAAATAAAATATAAAATTTATAACTGTGGTGTTCTGACACGCCTTAAATATTTGAACTAATAAAATAATTTCTCACTTATTACCATGAAAACAAATATACTGACATTATCGTCAGCTACATTGTGCATCTGTTTCTCTAAATTATTATTATTATTAGTTTATTTATTTCATTAAAGTAAATAAAGTATAAAAAGATATTAACAGTGTCACAACATCAAATATACAAGAAATGAATGAAAAGGAGCAGAACAAAGAGTCGTCTTACATTCTCTGCCCCTTTAACCTTTTCCAAAAAAAACATAAACAGCGAGAGTCACTTTAAAACATTTCACATCAGTACATTTCTATTCAGTCACATCAATCCCAAACAGAAATCTTCACGATTATGCACAACAACTTAGTTTCCTTTTTTGTACGTACACACTGCACTGGATGTTATGTGTTTTTAAAAGCCATTATTGTACTTGATTCTTTTATTTCTTTGTCAAGACTCTTCCATAAATGACTTCCTTTCACAGCGAAACTTTGCTCCAGAACCTCAATTCTGAATCTGTTTTTTTTTTTTTTCTTCAACATGTAGCTTCCTTTTAAACTGTACTGGTTTGTTCTCCTCTCAAACATGACATTTACTGATGCACAGGATACTTTGGGTCGCTCAGTGATGAAAATATGAGCACATAGCAAATAATTTACATACAGTGTGAAGTGATTTAGCAAAATAACGACAAATTTTTCCTTGTAGTGGGTTCATACACGGCTTCTCCAGGAAAATCTTTGCCCCTGCCCACGAGTTTGAATGGCGAGAGCAGGTTCAGTGTTGTCTTTGAAAACTCCTGATTATGAGTTTAAAATTCATAATTATGACTTTTAAACATGTAATTATGACTCTTAAACCTGTAAATATGACTTTAAAACTTGTAATTATGACTTTAAAACCTGTAATTATTACTTTAAATCTTGTAATTATGACTTTAAAACTCATTATTATGACTAAATCCCTTCAGTAGCGTATTGGAGACTGCAGAGAGGAGCCAGTGCCTGACATGTGAAGACGTATTAATAGAGTATTTATTCGTCTGTTACAGGAGTAAAGTGGACTGACTCTACACTGTGTCCTGTCTTTCGTATACGTCCTGACGTAAACTTCGCAGCCGTTACACATGGACACGACTACAACAAACTTTTCCTACGGTGGTGTCAGCTACAGACACTGAGCACATTTTTATCAATAATAGTGTTTTTAAATAATATTTCTTAGGTCACAGCATCAAAAATGACGGCAATGAGTCATAGTAAAATCGTACTTAAGGTTGAATTCATTGCGCCTCAGTAAATGTCCTTTACTGTCAAAGAGCTGAGCCACCATCAGGATGTTTTTGTCAAACCAGTGACGATAAAATAATTCACAAAGCGAAATCATTCATAAAATCCCACCGCCGTCGCGTCACTGTGCTGCCCCCTGGTGGACACACACAGGCCCTACAGGACCTGAGGACCCACTGCGGGGACCTGTGCTTGTCCTTAAAGCCACACTACGTAACGTTTTATGTATTTGTCTTCAGTTTGGTTGTTTTTATTGCGTCTCCACAAACCTGACAACTCTTTGGTCTGGAGGAGGGCTTCTCATGGCTCGTTTCCATGGAAATATATTGTTTTTTAAATTTTCACTCAGGTTAAGCAGCGACAGGTGAACGCTGTGTCCAAAAAGAACATTTAAAACACAAGATACGGAAATACAAAAACAGAAATATAAAATAAAACTCAACTCCACTCGCCCTCGTTAAGACAATAAACAAGTAAGAGAAACAAATAAGAGCAAGAAAACCAATTAAATAAAAAGGTAAAAATTATAAAGAAAGTAATAATACATTTTATTTTTTTTTATTTAAAAAGGTAAAAAAAATATAAATAACTCAAAGACACTTAAAGACTCAGCCGTGCGTCTTGATGCCGTGTTTTTCTTGATGAAAAGCACAACATTCAGAAACATTATTTTCTTGCCCGACTTTGAACGAAACTGTACTTTTCTGAGTACTTTTCCAGCAGCATACTTTTACTCTTACTGGAGTAATATTTGTATTGCAGTAACAGAACTGTTACTCAAGTAAAATGTGAGTGAGTCTGAAAGGACAAAAGCTTCTGTGAAAACCTGAAATGATGTGAACGTTTGTGTTTGGTGCAGCTCCTTCTGATCTGACTGGAGCTGCTGTCGTTATTTATTTCAGATTTAGTCACATTCAGTTACTCTTTAAGTTACTTTTACTCGAGTAGTACTTTTTCCAGTAGATCACTATCTCTACTTGAGTAATAGTATTTTACTTCCAGATCCACATTATTCCTTATTTGATCGTGTCATGTCTCACACGGTGTGTGATCTTCTGTGTCCGAGTCGTTTCTCTGTGGATCATTAAAGTTTGTCTGAGACACTTTAGTTCGTTGAATCTTTTCCTGGAGGATGTTTCTCTGGAGAAACAGTTTGGTAAAAGCTACAAAAGGAAGTTTGAAAAATCCCTCCTGATTAAATAATGATTAAACTGAAGATCCGGCTCTCGCCCCCATAATGAGCCGTAAATCCCGTGGGACCTGAGGTGCTCCGGGTGCTCGGTGTGAGTGCGCCCCCTGGCGGCTCCTGTCTCTTTCCTCCGGAGCCATTTTCACTAAATGAACCTGAGCGGCTCACGCACGTGCAGACGTGCTGAGGGCGCGCGCCTCTGGGCTGGAGGCAGAACGTGAGTGCACGCGTACAGGTTAAGTGTAAACGAATGATTGACGCGCACGTCACACACGCGCTTCACGCGCGCGGCTCCTGTGATGATCAAATGAAGACTCGGCTCTTCACTGTGAAGACTCGGCTCCTCACTGAGCCAAAACTTCCCCGGAGGTGCCGCCGCTGCTTAATGAGGCGCGAGCGCGCTAATTAACTCGTAATTGTCGCGCGGAGGGCGCGCGCGGAGCCGGTCCGGAGCAGCTGTGCGCCGGCACTTGGCCCCGGACTCCCCGGGACCCCCCCGGAGCCGCGGTTTTATGTCTGCGTCACAACAAGTCGTCGCGGCGGCGCGATGGCGTCTCACGCGGCCTGACTCCGCGCGTCAGCGTCAATAGGCCGCGGGGGGCGGAGGGGAACGGCACCGATCAAAGCGACATGACGAAACACCGTCATACGGAGGGACGGACGCACCGCGGCTCAGACGGACAGACGCCCGCCCCTCCCGCGCTCTGACGGTGACTGACACACCGCGGCGCTGCCGGACACACTCTGGAACATACATGCACACTCCCGGGCACAGACCCGGGCACACTCCCGGACACACTCCCGGACACACTCCCGGACACACTCCCGGACACTCTCCCGGGCAGCGCGTCCGAGCGGCCGCTGAGTGGAGCGCGGAGCCCCGCAGATGAGGCTTTTGTATGTGGAGCCGCAGGAGCCACAGAGACCCGCCTCGGAGGAGCCGGCCCTGACAGGTACAGTGCGCGTGCAGACACACACCGCGCGGCGGGGGCGCGTGCACACACCAGAACCTCCGGCACCAGAACCTCCGGCGGAGCCCGAGCGCCGCCGCGCGCCTGTAAGTTTGTGCGCGCGGAGGCGGATGTCAACAGTGTGGCGCTGCGCGCGCACGCGCCTGCCGCTCTGTCTCAGACGCGCGCGCCTCATTTGTCTTGTCTCGTGTCTCGTGCAGAGGAGGAGGGGGGGGCAGGCCGTAAAGTGTGTGTTTGTGTCGTCAGGATGAGCTCCGTGAGTGAAGGAGAGGACGTGCTCGCGCGATGGACCGACGGACTCCTGTACGTGGGCAACGTGAAGAGGGTGAGCGTGCACGTGACACTCATGCACCTCCACCTGTGCCCCCCACATGCTCTGTCCACCCTCACTCTGTCCCCCTCCACCTGTGCCCCCCACATGCTCTGTCCACCCTCACCCTGCCCTCCCTCACTCTGTCCCTCTCACCCTGTCCCCCTCACCCTGTCCTCCTCACGTCTCTAAGGTTCCTTCACTCTGTCAGATGTGTCTGTCCCTCACCTGTGTCTCTGTCCCTCACCTGTGTCTCTGTCCCTCACCTGTGTCTCTGTCCCTCACATGTGTCTCTGTCCCTCACCTGTGTCTCAGTCCCTCACATGTCTCCGTCCCTCACATGTCTCCGTCCCTCACCTGTGTCTCTGTCCCTCACATGTCTCCGTCCCTCACATGTGTCTCCGTCCCTCACATGTCTCCGTCCCTCACCTGTGTCTCTGTCCCTCACATGTCTCTGTCCGTCACCTGTGTCTCTGTCCCTCACATGTCTCCGTCCCTCACATGTGTCTCTGTCCTGTGTGTGCAGGTGGACGGGCTGAAGCAGTGCTGTCTCGTTCGCTTCGAGGACAACTCTGAGTTCTGGGTCCTACGCAAAGACATCCACACCTGTGAGACACTCTGAGACTCCACACCTGAGACCCCGTCTGACTGTCTCTGTGTCTGTCCCCCTCTGTCCCCCTCTGCCCCCCTCTGTCCCCCTTTGTCCCCCTCCCATCCTCTCTGGTTGTCTCATATGTCTTCTCTAGTTGTCTCGTTTGTCTTCTCCAGTTGTCTCGTTTGTCTTCTCCAGTTGTCTCGTTTGTCCTCTCTGGTTGTCTCACCTGTCCTCTCTGGTTGTCTCACCTGTCCTCTCTGGTTGTCTCACCTGTCCTCTCTGTTTGTCTCGTTTGTCCTCTCCGGTTGTCTCACCTGTCCTCTCTCTTTGTCTCTTTTGTCCCCTCTGGTTGTCCTCTCTCTTTATCTCGTTTGTCCACTCTGTTTGTCCTTTCTGGTTGTCTCGTTTGTCCTCTCTGTTTGTCCTCTCGGTTGTCTCATCTGTCCTCTTGTCTCTGTCCTCAGTTGCAGGTGTGGGGGAGGACGTGTGTTGTGTCTGTGATGGTCCTCCGCTCAAAGAGCCGCTCATCACGTGTCTCAAGTGTCGGCACGGTGAGACACTTCCACCTCTAGTACTGTAGTAGTAGTAGTAGTAGTAGTAGTAGTAGTAGTACTGTTGTTGTAGTAGTAGTAGTAGTAGTAGTAGTAGTAGTAGTAGTAGTAGTGGTACCTTTCCTTTCTCTGACCCACAGCGTTTGTCTGTAGTTGTGTTTGTGATGTGGAGGACTACTATAGAGCTTTTTCACATCGTCTGAAATGTCCCGCTGTGGGAAACTCTGCCCCAATCACGGACAAGTTCCTGGTGAATATTAAAGAGCCGAGCCTCCGCGGAGCTGCACGTGTAGTGACCGAATATAAACACACACAAACTGTCCAAACTCACTCGTGCACAGCTCTGCACCAAACCCAACGCCCCACACTGAAACAGTTCAGCACAAACACATGAACCACTACACCCCTAAACGTTATGGTCATGAATAAAACAGAAGGAACTTGTTCACTCAGACTCATTCTAGAATTAAAATTAAAAATGGATTTGATGATGTGGATATTTAGTCAGTTTGGCGCCCCCTAGTGCCTCCGCTTAGTTTCATTTCTGTCCACCTCTAGTTCAGGAATCAGAAAAAACACTAGACGATTCACAAAAACCACAGAAGTGCGAGTTCAGGCACCAGCCAATCAGAGAAGAGACAGACATTCTGTGTTGGTGACGATTCCCCAGATCGAGGATTTAAAGCCGAAACAAAGAAAATGTTTGGTGAATTTTATCAAGGGGAAAGACGTTATTGTTCTTCTTCCTACAGGATTTGGGAAAAGTTTAATATACCAGTTTACCCCGTTTGCGGCGCATTACATACGACACGACCAAACAGCAGCAATTGGTTAAATAAAAAAAGTCCCCGCCTACTGTCGAGTGAATGAATCCTAACGCTGCAAGTCACACGGTTTCTACGACGTGAAACTGTCTGAAGAATCAGGCTAGTGGAGACTTACACAGACACAGAAATTTGTGCAGTTTAAATGCTCCACGTCTCTAAGGCTGCGTTCAGACTGCACCTGAAGTGACCCAAATCCGATTTTTTGGCTTCTATATGATCTGTATCTGATCTTTTAATGACAGTTTGAACGACACAGATCAGTTTTTTTCACATGTGACCCAGGACACTTGGATATGTGCTCCTGAAACTGATACATATCTGATCTTTTGACATGTGACTTCAGTGTGAACAGTCAGGTCACATTCATCCACCTACACGTTATCAACAAGACACAAACGTCACTATTCTGCACTGAAGTAGGAGAAAACTGTTCATGATCCATGTGACTGAAGTGAAGCACATCTCCACTCACCACAAAACACCACCACCAAAAACCTGGTCCTTCTCCTTCTCAATCTCCTCCTTAAAACAAGTCAGTTGTTCATGTTGTGGCTCCGGTACGAGAGGAACTTTAAAATCTCCAGGTGCTCGATGCTACGTCCATGTTTGGACACTTGTGTAAACACAGAGACGCTCGCTGTGGTTGACGTCGTCGTGTCTCCAGTGTCACATGTGGGACACTTTTGGACCGTTTAATGTTCACACTGGAGTCACATACAAGTCACATTTAACTGGAAATGTGAACGACCTCGAAAAAACACAATTTCACAAAAAAGTCGGAATTGAGCGTTAAACCCTGCAGTCTGAACAGAGACTAAGATCAGAACATGAGTTGAGTTTGTTGTGTGACTAATGTGTCTCGTTGTTTCTTTAAGTTTTGTTCTTTCTTCTCTTGATCGTTGTGGATAAATTGTTCATGAAGAATGTTTCTCCTTTGTGGAGTTTGTTGGTTGAAGATTTGGTGATGGAGCAGATTTATGAAACTGCTGGAGAATACGACACACATTTACACACACACATTTACACAGAAAAACATTAACTGGCAGTTCCCCAAACCTACAGCAGGACACTTCAGACGTTGTGAAAAAGTTCTATCTGTGGACTGGAATGTTTTTTTATTTGTGCCTATTATTATGACTACTACTACTCGAGTACCTGACCGTGTGCGTCTCCTCAGGGTACCACGCGGCCTGTCATGCGCCCCCTGTTGACCCGGAGGTGGACACAGACTCGTGGATCTGCAGACACTGTGTCTTTGCCGTGGCCACGAAGGTCAGAAAGTGAAACCGAAAACAGAAAACCACAAAACGATTCACAACATACAACACTCCACTGCGACTTCACAAACCTGAAGCCATGTGCATGAGGGTCATCGGTGACAAAGACACTGAGGCTCAAAAACAAAAGTCTAAATTTTACACATCTCCAGAACAACTATATTCTGCTCTTCTGTGCACACACACACACACACACACACACACACACACACACACACACACACACACACATTTAAACATATATGGACACTCTGATGTGAACCATTTCTTATTAAACCAACAACATGGTTTAAAGTTCAGATCGGGGTTGAAATAGATTCAGATGAAATAAGTCATGGTACATTCCAAATGAACAGCCCCTTTTACTTTTAGTTCAGTAGAAATGAACAATTCAGGTCTGAAATGATCCAAATGATTCTAGTGAAGGTGTGTGGTTGCCTGTATCCAGGTTCTGCCTCGTTTCAGAGCTAGTTCAGGGTGGTACAGTGTGGACCCCTGGTTTAGGCGTCCCATACGGACCGCTGGAGATACCAGCTTCCAGGGGGTCTGGCCTGGTTAGAACCTTGGACAGGCCAAGGCGTCACTAAGTGAACTGTGTCAAACGAGGCTTTTGTGACAAGCAAACAACTTTATTATTGTGTTTCAGAAGACATCAGAACATTCTACAGACCAATCTGAATACATACAGACAAGGGCAGCTAAAATTAAAATACTTAAAATCCAAAATCCTGTTGTGATACAGTGAGTTCTTGAGTTTAGTTTATATTTGGAAATACCAGGTTCAACATTTGTGACTTTACTGTTTGGATATTTTATGGTAAAGTATCAACAGTGAAGTCTGGCTCTAGAATCTGAAAAAGTCCAGTAACACGGATCACAAAGTCCTGTAATATTCCCCAGACGTTTCCAGGAAATAAATGTAGTGACTATAATAATAATAACCCCAGCCTGTGTGTGTGTTTCAGAGGGGCGGGGCCATGAAGCGCGGCCGTTTCGCCCGACTCATGCAGTACATGAAGCTGCGGCTGCCCTATCAGCTCTCGGCTCTGGACTGGGACCCACAGCATCTGACCAATCAGCAGCAGTGTTACTGCTACTGCGCCGGGCCTGGAGAGTGAGTGACCTGCCGACCTGAACACCTGACCGCAACTCCAACCCCAACGCAGTGACCCGCCCAAACATAACTTTGACCACAACACAGTGACCCTCTCTGTCCCAACACCCAACCCCAACCACTAGATTAGTCGTTCTATTCTTCAGGTTTTCGGCCACACCGTGTCACATCTGTGTGAAAATCCACATATTTAAGACGTGTAAAAAAGGAACCACATCCTTTTATCCTCGTACACACAAGAGTACACTGCTGACCCCTCCTCTGTTCTGACCTCTGACCCCTGTTCTGACCTCTGACCTGTGTTGTGACCCTGCAGGTGGAATCTGAAGATGCTGCAGTGTGCTCGCTGTGGGCAGTGGTTCCATGAGGCCTGCACCCAGTGTCTGTCCAAACCTCTGCTCTACGGAGACAGGTACCCCACCCTGCACCCACAAATACCCCACCCTGCACCCACAGGTGGCCCACCCTGCACCCACAAGTACCACACCCTGCACCCACAGGTGTCCCACCCTGCACCCACAAGTACCACACCCTGCACCCACAGGTACCCCACCCTGCACCCACAGGTGTCCCACCCTGCACCCACAAGTACCCCACCCTGCACCCACAGGTGGCCCACCCTGCACCCACAAGTACCACACCCTGCACCCACAGGTGTCCCACCCTGCACCCACAAGTACCACACCCTGCACCCACAGGTGTCCCACCCTGCACCCACAGGTGTCCCACCCTGCACCCACAGGTGTCCCACCCTGCACCCACAGGTGTCCACAGTGGGGTCCAGGGTGGGCGGGTTTAAACACACTGAAATCCAGTATGTTTAAACCAAAAAAAAAAAGTCTCTCTGATCTGAACCGCAGTATCAGCACCTGCACCAACATGAGTCAGTGCTAGTGCAGCCTCTGCAGCTCAGGGAGGGAATTCTGGAGGTTCTGAGCTTCACATGAGGCCTGAACATAAACTGAGACTGAGACAAAAGCAGGACGTGTCTCTGTGTCTCTGTCCGCAGCTGAAGGATCTAGAGACACAGGTTGGATTGAAATAACATGCCTGTGTGTGTTTGTGTGTTTGTGTTTTGCAGGTTCTATGAGTTCGAGTGCTCCGTCTGCACCAAGGGCCCAGAGACCATTCAGCGTCTGCCCATGACCTGGTGAGTCCACAGAGAATAAACACAACACCACAAAGATCTGGATACACCACAAAGATCTGGACACACACATCATCCTGCAGCCACACTCAGGTTTAAAAGCCCAGATTAAACTTGTGAACCACGAGCAACAAAACACAAACAGAACAGGAACAACTCAAACCGTTTGTGAGGCTGTAAATGAGAGAAGCACATTCTGAACCGGGACAGAGGAAAACAAACATCGAGAGGAAATCGAAAAACAAACCTGCCCACGGGACGATAAACCGGGACAAGGGGCTTTTTTACTCTCACACACCTGGGATAAAGTCCTGAGGAAGTGCGACTGCAGGTGGCGCTGTCGTCCTGCCTCCACCGAGAGGAAGACACAGACAAAACCTGTTTACGTTATCTGAGAGAGACGACACAGAAACATCACCAGACTCTGAGGACGAGTCTGAGGACGAGTCTGAGGACGAGTCTGAGGACGAGTCTGAGGACGAGTCTGGGGACGAGTCTGGGGACGAGTCTGAGGACGAGTCTGGGGACGAGTCTGAGGACGAGTCTGGGGACGAGTCTGGGGACGAGGAGGAGGACGAGTAGGAGGACGAGTCTGAGGAAGAGTCTGAGGACGAGTCTGAGGACGAGTCTGAGGACGAGTCTGAGGACGAGTAGGAGGACGAGTAGGAGGACGAGTCTGAGGACGAGTCTGAGGAAGAGGAGGAGGAGCAGAACAAACTGTCAGGACCAAAACAAACTCTGGGACTGAAAAAAGAACCAAAGAACATCAAATACATTATGCACAAATTGAACAATATAGAAAAGAGCATTTTAATAACACATAAATTCATCAAATTAACAATTGTCTCCCTCTTTGTCTCCCTGTCTGTCTCTGTCCCCCTGTCTGTCCCGTGCAGGGTGGACCTGGCTCACCTGGTCCTGTATCACCTCTCTCTGTGCTGTAAGAGGAAATACTTTGACTTCGACCATGAGATCCTGTCCTTCGCCAACGAGAACTGGGACTCTCTGCTGCTGGGCGCGGTACTGGCACCTGCACCACCCTCACCCACATCTGCCCCTCACCCCCCTAACCTCTCACCCACATCTGACCCTCACCCCCCTAACCTCTCACCCACATCTGAGCCTCACCCCCCTAACCCCTCACCCACATCTGACCCTCACCCACATCTGCCCCTCACCCCCCTAACCTCTCACCCACATCTGCCCCTCACCCCCCTAACCTCTCACCCACATCTGCCCCTCACCCCCCTAACCTCTCACCCACATCTGACCCTCACCCACATCTGACCCTCACCCACATCTGACCCTCACCCACATCTGCCCCTCACCCCCCTAACCTCTCACCCACATCTGACCCTCACCCACATCTGACCCTCACCCCCCTAACCCCTCACCCGTCTTTCTTCTCTTGATATTTGTGGATAAATTGTTCATGAAGAATGTTTCTCCTTTGTGGAGTTTGTTGCTTGAAGATTTGGTGATGGAGCAGATTTATGAAACTGCTGGAGAAAACTACACACACTTACACACACATTTACACACACACTTACACGCACACATACACACATTTACACACACATTTTGCCACAGAAAACCATTAACTGGAAGCTCAGCAAACCTACAGCGGGACACTTCACCCAATGTGAAAAAGATCTATTGCGCGCTAATGCTGTGTCGGTGAACATGTGAAAGTGACTGTGTGTGTGTCTGTGTCTGTGTGTGTCTGCAGCTGTCGGACACGCCGAGGCAGGAGCGCTGTCACCACCTGCTGGCCGCTCTCAACGTGCACAAGGACAGGTTATTATCGTTATTTCTATTTTACTAATTGAATTGAAATTGAATTATTACTATTATTATTGTTGTTGTTGTAATTATTATTTACACTGGGTGACCTTAAGAAAATTAAAAAGCAGATGTGTTGTTTTATACGTTTCACTCTCTGTGTCTGTGTCTGTGCTGGTGCAGGTTTGTGTCGGGGAAAGAGATCAAGAAGAAGAAGTGCCTGTTTGGACTCCAGGTGCGAGCTCCGCCCCCTTTGGCGTCAGACACCTCCCCCGTCCTGACCGAGGCTCCGGTCAGCATCGGTCACCGCAAAAGGTCAGCTCTGCCCGTGCACACTCACTTTTTAAACCTGATGCCCTCCCCTGTGCTCATACCACACTGTTCTAATGTTGTTCCCTCCTCAAAAATAGACCTGGAGACGTTTGTTTCATTCACACACACAACATAAAGTGTTAAAATCGACTCTGACAGAATTTTAACACTTTCTCAGTGTTTATTTGAGTCACTCTGTTCTAGAGTTAATTTAACATTTTTGGAAATTTTAATGAAGTAACACTGGACCAAAGTTCCTGTTTAACCTGAAATCCAGAGTTATATGAATGTTTAGAGAGTAAACAGATAACACTTTGTAGAGTTATCCTGATTTAACTCAACAACACACAGAGGGGTTTTATTTGAGTTAATTTAAGATGAAATTATGAACAAAACTGGTTCAAACTGGTTCTTCTCTGGAGGGAGTTTGAAGTGGTGGGAGGAGACAAATTAACACTAAGTTTAATTAACTTCAACCAAATCAACTCTGACAAATAACCCCAACTCCAACACACATTTAACTCTCAAAGAGTTAAAATAACACTTTGTGTTAAAACCAACTCTGAAATATTTTAGCCTGAAGTTTTAACCCTCCAGTTTTTGCTGTGCAGGTTTAACACACAAGCCCTGCACATTTACACGAGTTCTTCTCTCAGACCAGAAAACACTCTGTTTCACCTTGTGATGTCATCATGTGGTGATACAGGAGGTGCTCCACGGTGTTTTTAAACTCCACACACCTTCACTAGAATCACTTGGATAGTTTCAGTCCTGGAGTTGCCAGTCTCGACTGAACTAAAGGGAAAAGGAGCTGTTCACGTGGAAACTACCACTTGATGACATCACAAGGTGGAACAGAACATTTGGAGCTTTGGAGATGTAAACAGATGATAATAAAGAGTTACTGAAACATGTGAATGAAACAAACGCAACTCCAGCTCTGATTTTGAGGAGGAAACATTAGAACATGATTTAAGATTCATAAGAGTTAGTTTTGAGTGATATTGGACCTTTAAGTTACATTTTCACATAAAACTTTTATGTAAATGAATAAAAAATCTACAAAACTTGAACATTTTTTTAAACCAGAATATCAGTAGTAATTAACAATATGATGGTGATATTTTTAGTTCTGGATTTTCTGCATTTCATTTTTCAAGTTTTTGGATTTCACTGATTCTTTCTGAAGTGCTTCATGTGATCCTGTGTTTCCTTCAGCCCGCTGTCAGTGCCCTGTCCAAAGAGAGTGGGGGCGCTAGAGCCCCGCAAACCCAAGAGACGCCTCCCGGACTCACAGGTCAGAGCCGCTGTCTTCATACGTCGAAGTGTTTCAGTTTTAGTTTCATCTCTCGCTCCTCCGTCCTGTTCAGGTCAAGTGCATCTTTCCCAAAGCTCTGACCGCACTCGCCTCACTTACAGAACACAGCTCGGTGTTAAACTCTGAGCACCAACACTCACAGAGTCACTGCTCTCTTCAAACGCTGCTTCTATTTTTACTCGGGCTTCTGATGCTCTCACTGAACACACGTTTCACTGACAGATGCAGCTCCTGCGTCTCCACGGGCTCCGCGTTTGTGTAAAAGCTGCTGACTCTGCTGGATTCACTCTTCAATCTTAAAATTTGTAACAAAAACAAACAAAATACAGTTGTTTTTTTGTCTTCCATCTTCTACTGATTTAAAAAATGTTTTACCTAAATGTATCCAGTCATTTGTTTTGGTAAAATACAGAAAAGCTGCTTAAAAACGACAAAAACACAAAGAAAATGTGACTATGCTGACTCATGTTCGTCATGAATGTGCCGAGTACAGAACAGTTTTATTTAATTACACATTCAGATCACAATTTTATTATTACCAACCACCACAAACCGGGGATGGTCCAGTTTTTTATTTTGAAAATCTGTTCACTCTGCTTAAATGTCCGTCTCTGAAACCTTTTCTACTGCAGACCCCTTCTGGACAAATGAGGAATTACACCAACATGCTTTCTGTAAAATATACTCTACTGCACTCACCTGTCCCTTTGTCCCTGTCTGTCCCTGTCCTGCAGACGTGTCCTGCTCCTGCCGGCGTTGATCACATAGAGTGTCTCCCGTGTTGTCATGGTTACATGGGCGGGGCCAATCTGTACAACAGGAAGTCGGATCAGAGCTTCAGCCCGAGGTAAAATATTTTCATTCAGCAATAAAAAAAAGTCATTTTTAGATTTCCCTGAAAACCTTAAAGAGGAGGTCTTCTGCAAAGTCAACTTTTTGGAAAATGGGAGAAAGTTCCAAAATCACAAACCTGCCTGAGGTTTTAGATCATCCATGCATGTTTGAATAATCTAGAGATCTCTCCGGGCCCTATTCAAACCCTCATTACGGTGAGCAGTACAAGTCTGTTTGAGGCTCCGCTTATTTCAGAAAATCAGGAAGTAAATGCAGAAGTAAAAATCTTTTTTGGGCCCATGTGCCAATGAGCTCAGCCCACTGAAAACAATACAACGCCATCTTGGATTCATCTTCAGATTTGATTATAGTTCTGTGAACTGGACACAGCAACAGGACAGACCTGATGAGACGTACGGGAGTTTCATGAGTGCGACACACACTGCGCTCTGAAGGGGGAGTGAGTTAGCACAGAGAGGAGAGACTCAGAGTGACAAAAACGAAAATGAAACTAATAAAATATGCAAATATGTTGTTTTGGACAAATATAACATTTTCAAAACAATAAAAGGAACATGTGACGTGCTACAGTGAAAACCCCAGAGAGGTGTAATAACTCCTCTTTAAACATGACTTGTGCAGATTTGTTCCTAACACTCTGAGATGTGTGTCTCTTGTTCGTCCTCAGTCCTCCGTCCAAGCGCATGTGGTCGTTTTATCACAACTCGTACAGTGGAAGTGTGGGACTGTCCCGGAACCTGCACTACTACAACAGGTCAGAGCTCGTCCACCTCAGCAGAGTCACACAGAGACACGGACAGACCTAACCCACCAACCCACTAACCCTCTAACCCTCTAACCCTCTAACCCTCTAACCCACCAACCCTCTAACTCTCTAACCCTCTAACCCGCCAACCCACTAACCCACCAACCCTCTAACCCTCTAACCCACCAACCCTCTAACTCTCTAACCCTCTAACCCACCAACCCTCTAACTCTCTAACCCTCTAACCCACCAACCCTCTAACTCTCTAACCCACCAACCCTCTAACCCACTAACACTCTAACCCACTAACCCAAACCCTAACCCGCCAACCCACCAACCCTCTAACTCTCTAACCCACCAACCCTCTAACCCACAACCCACTCTAACCCACTAACCCAACCCGCCAACCCACCAACCCTCTAACCCGCCAACCCTCTAACGCACTAACCCTCTAACCCTCTAACCCACTAACCCTCTAACCCGCCAACCCGCCAACCCTCTAACCCACTAACCCTCTAACCCACTAACCCTCTAACCGCCAACCCACCCAACCCTCTAACCCGCCAACCCTCTAACGCACTAACCCTCTAACCCGCCAACCCTCTAACCCACCAACCCTCTAACCCACTAACCCTCTAACCCACTAACCCTCTAACCCGCCAACCCACCAACCCTCTAACCCGCCAACCCTCTAACGCACTAACCCTCTAACCTGCCAACCCTCTAACCCACCAACCCTCTAACCCACTAACCCTCTAACCCGCCAACCCACCAACCCTCTAACCCGCCAACCCTCTAACGCACTAACCCTCTAACCTGCCAACCCTCTAACCCTCTAACCCACTAACCCTCTAACTCTCTAACCCACTAACCCGCCAACCCTCTAACCCACCAACCCTCTAACCCACTAACCCACCAACCCTCTAACCTCTAACCCGCCAACCCTCTAACCCACCAACCCACTAACCCGCCAACCCTCTAACCCACCAACCCTCTAACCCACCAACCCTCTAACCCGCCAACCCACTAACCCACCAACCCTCTAACCCACCAACCCACTAACCCACCAACCCTCTAACCCGCCAACCCTCTAACCCACCAACCCTCTAACCCACCAACCCACTAACCCACTAACCCGCCAACCCTCTAACCCACCAACCCTCTAACCCACCAACCCTCTAACCCACCAACCCTCTAACCCTCTAACCCACCAACCCACTAACCCACTAACCCACCAACCCGCCAACCCTCTAACCCACCAACCCTCTAACCCTCCAACCCTCTAACCCTCCAACCCTCTAACCCACCAACCCTCTAACTCTCTAACCCTCTAACCCGCCAACCCTCTAACCCACTAACCCACCAACCCTCTAACTCTCTAACCCACTAACCCGCCAACCCTCTAACCCACTAACCCTCTAACCCACTAACCCTCTAACTCTCTAACCCTCTAACCCGCCAACCCTCTAACTCTCTAACCCACCAACCCTCTAACTCTCTAACCCACCAACCCACTAACCCGCCAACCCTCTAACCACCAAACCCTCTAACAACCCTCTAACCCTCTAACCCACCAACCCTCTAACCCAACCAACCTCTAACCCTCTAACTCTCTAACCCACCAACCCTCTAACTCTCTAACCCACCAACCCTCTAACCCGCCAACCCTCTAACCCACCAACCCACTAACCCGCCAACCCTCTAACCCACCAACCCTCTAACCCACCAACCCTCTAACCCGCCAACCCACTAACCCACCAACCCTCTAACCCACCAACCCACTAACCCACGAACCCACTAACTCGCCAACCCTCTAACCCGCCAACCCTCTAACCCACCAACCCACTAACCCACTAACCCGCCAACCCTCTAACCCACCAACCCTCTAACCCTCTAACCCTCTAACCCACCAACTCTCTAACCCTCTATCCCACCAACCCTCTAACCCTCTAACCCACTACTCTCTAACCCACCAAAAAATGTGTGTGAAAATATTATTTAAAAAATCAATTGGGATCCATTTTGAATCAGTTGGAGACTTGTGTATTGAAGTATCACGATGTGTCACTGAATCTTTTTTTCTTACAGCCATAATTAGTTCTGTTTTATAAACCACATGTTGTTGAATAAAACAAACCCTGTGGTTCGTTGTGTGTGCAGTCTGGAGGAGCCGCACAGGATGCCCGCACAGTGCCTGCAGTACCCAGTCACCCCCAACAGCGCCCCCCAGTGCCACCCCCAGTACCAGCAACACCCCCGGCACCAGCCTCCAGAGGGCAGCAGACCGACGCACGCCGCTCTGGGCCACGACCTCCCTCCGTACCAGGGCAGCGTGGGCAGGGGGGTGGGTGGGTCGGGGGGCGGGGCTTCTGCCGAGGGGGCAGGAGGGGTTGTGGCGAAGGGCTGGGGCGGCGCTGAGGACAAGGGCTGGGGCGGGGCCGAGGCAAAGGGCTGGGGCGGGGCCGAGGCAAAGGGCTGGGGCGGCGCCGAGGACAAGGGGTGGGGCGGCGCCGAGGCCAAGGGGTGGGGCGGCGCCGAGGCCAAAGGCTGGGGCGGCGCCGAGGCCAAAGGCTGGGGCGGCGCCGAGGCGGTGCGGATCCTGGCCCGCCGGGTCACGCACGACGGGAAGGTGCAGTACCTGGTGGAGTGGGAGAACGTGGGCGTGTACTGAAGAGACAAACGAGCGGGTCAGGGTCTGGGGTTCGATTCCCGCCGGGTGGAACTTTCCTCATTGACCTGAAACATGCACAATATTCCTCCAGCCCGATACTGCGGACCGTGGACACAAAGATCAGGAGATGTACCGTGGTGGCTCCTGGGGCCTTGAAGGACGCCTGGGAAGTTCTACCTTAGCACCGTCAGGCTGCCCACAGAGTCTGGCCCCTCTGCGGTGGAGCCAGAGTCTGTGGGTCCAGAGTCTGTGGGTCCAGAGTCTGTGGGTCCAGAGTCTGTGGGTCCAGAGTCTGTGGGTCCAGGGTCTGTGGGTGGGCCCAGGGTCTGTGGGTCCAGGTCTGTGGGCCCAGGGTCTGTGGGCCCAGGGTCTGTGGCCCAGGGTCTGTGGGCCAGGGTCTGTGGGTCCAGGGTCTGTGGGCCCAGGGTCTGTGGGCCCAGGGTCTGTAGGTCCAGAGTCTGTGAGCCCAGGGTCTGTGGGCCCAGGGTCTGTGGGCCCAGGGTCTGTGGGTCCAGAGTCTGTGAGTCCAGCGTTTGTGGGTCTGTGGTGGGGACAGGACTAAAACAGGACTTAAACCTGAGTCCTGATCATCCGACAGTCTACACAGGCGCACCTCGGGCCCGTCTGGATTGGTTTAGTCCTGGTTTAGACCTGGTTCAGTCCTGGTTCAATTCCAATCATTATCTGTTTTTTCATTTTGGATTGGGAGACAAATAATGAAGAAAATAGTTTTTTTGTTTCCTTATTTTTGTTTTTATTTTGAAAAACAAATGAACGAATGATCCACAGATTTCTCTGCACAACAGTTTTCCTTCATCACGCACTTGATTGACAATTTTATTATTACCAAATCAAAAAAAAAAAACAAAATTTAGAATTTTCAAAAAACCAAAAAAAAAAAAAAAAAAAAATTTTTTCATTATTGATGAAAAATGAAAAATTGGAAACTCTTTTTTTTTTCATTCGTTTTAATATAAAACCAAAAATAAGAAAACGAAAAAACTTTTTTATTTTGATTTGTTGTTCGTTTTTTTTTTTCGATTTTGTTTTTAATGAAAAAAAAACGGATTCCCGTTTACGTTTCCGTGACTGCGATGCCGGACTTTTGCACCGCATACGACTGAATCAGGACGGACCCTCAGGACCGAGACCAGACCGCTGGACCGACCAGACAGGACCAGAGCGGGACCAGGTCGGACTCCGAGCTTTGACTCCGAGCTACCCGAGCCGGGGTTCGGCTCCTCCTGGTGGGCTCTGAGCCTCCGGTCTGGTCTCTGGTCTTGGTCTCGGTCTCGGTCTCAGGCCCGCTCTGGTCCGGTCTTCCCAGTCTCAGTAGCTTTGGTCCCGGTCTGGTCCCGGACCTGAACCAAAAGCTCTTAGTTCGATTCATTTTCATTGGTGTGAAAGCGTCAGTCGGAGGCACCTCGCCAGCCGCGGTTCTTGAGCGCGGAGCAGCTCTGTCCCGGTCTAGTCCCGCTCTGGTCTCGGTCTGGACCTGGATCCGTCCTGATTCAGTCCGTATGTGGTGCAAAAGTCCGGCATCACAGTCACGGAAGTCACGTAAACGGGAAACGGCCGTTATCCGTTTTTTCCATTCTTCATTTAAACACAAAATCGAAAACTGAAAAAACGAATCGTTAGCCGTTTTTTTCATTTTGGTTTTGGAGACAAATAGCGAAGAAAACTGTTGTTTTTTCGTTTTCTTATTTTTGGTTTTATATTGAAAAACAAATGAACGAATGATACACGGATTCGGACTGAACCACGACTAAAACAGGACTAAAACAACCTGAGTCATCACCTGGCGCACCTCAAGCCTTTTTTCATTTATTTTTTTTTCATTTTTGACAAATCGACCACAAACACCGGATTGGATGTCACCAGTTTTTTTATTTTGATATTCTGGACACTCTGTGTTTGCCCTGGTTTGGTGTCAGCCTGACCTCTGACCTCTGACCTCTGACCCCTGACCCCTGATCCTCCTGTGCTCTCACCCCTGCGCTCTTTCCATGGAACTATAATAAGACCTGAGATGAACCCAAGTTTGTGTCGTTTCATTGACGCGAAATGCCCAGAAAGTTTTGTATCTTTCACATTATGTCCTGAATAGTGACCAAACCCCGCCCACCGCCAGACCAAACCTGCAGTTCTGACCAATCAGAGCGGAAAAGTGGAAGCAGCGGTGGCTCAGAGCAGTGCCAGGCTAAATCTTACAAACCACACTTTTATAAAAATACAGAGGAAATCTAGAAATTCCAGAGCTTTCACAAAGGGCCTGTGCTGAAGCTGTGGATGCCCGATACAAACACGGGCAAAGACTTCACATAAACACACTCGCCACGTTTACATGAGAGCTTTAATTACAAATACAAATAATTTCATTGTTTAAAAAAAAATCTGCTTTAAAAAGACCATATTCAATGATTACCGTATTTTCTGGACCATAAGTTGCCCCGGAATATAAGTCACACCAGTCAAAAAATACGTAATGAAGAAGAAAAAAACATACAAGTTGCATTTTTTGGGGAAATGTATTTTGTAAAATCAGAGACCAGGAACCGACATTTTATCTTGAAAGGCAAGTTATAGTGATGACAACAGAATAGAGAACAACAGGCTGAATAGTTATTAATATTAACAGTTATTCAGATAATTATACCATAAACAATATAAGTTTACCAAACTCACGATCTCACTCCAAATCACTAAATCCATTCAATTCTTCATCCTCCGTTTCACTTCTGAACAACCTCTAGAGATAAACCATAAATCCATGAGGTAAACGGAGCGCTGCTTCTTCTTCTGTGTCGCTGTCGTCAGACTCAGCATCAGTTCCAGTTAGAATTATTCGTGTCTTTCTGAATCCCGACAGGATGGTTTCAGTGTCACTGAAGTCCAGACTTTGTCCATCCATCCAGTGGCTTCAGGAAAGTTTCATGATGCATCCTCCCGGTGTCACAAGTTTCTCTCTCACTCCAAACTTCCTTTCTGCTGCTCGATTACCGTTTTCTGCTGCAGATTTCACTATTTGTAGCGACACAGTGGCTTTTTCTACAGGAGACATGCGCAGTACAGCGAAGTGACTGGAACAGGAGTAATAGTCGTACTACATACTGACACATGAGCCTAGAGCCTCTCGCGTCTGTCAGTCTGAAAATTTTAATATATAAATTGCACCGGAATATAAGTCGCAGGAAACGCCCAAACCATGAAAAAAAGTGTGATTTATAGTCAGAAAAATACAGGTACTGTGAAACTTAAACTTAATTTTGAAGTAAGTGGGTTTCATTCCGATTTTAAATCTGAATGAATTAGTTTTGTGGATTCTGTTTGTGGTTTATTGTTGTTAAAATGCTGCATGTGTTCTTACGCGTCGATCCGGACGATCCGGCTCTCCTGTCTCGGACTTTGATCCACGATCCGTGGTTTTCTGGCACACTGTTACTGGATCAGAACCACTTCAAAAATCCCTGGATCACACACATTTTTAAAAAGAAAACAATTTTTGGAAACTTTGAACAATTTATTCTGAGTTAAAAAACATCATGTAAACGTGGCGAGTGTTTTCAAAGAAATGGTGTAATACCTCATTTGTCCAGGAGGGGTCAGTGGTAGAACAGGTTTCAGAGTCTCGTCTGGGGCGTCGTTTATAAAACTTCATGTGGAATTCTTGCTAAAATTGTAGAAACAAAACACAGATTTCCTCAAACTGTCTCAGCTCTCGTCTGAGCACAGATCTCCTCCTGACTCGTCTCAAAGTCCTGACTCCAAAGTTCGGACCTCAGACTGTAAATGGACACAGTTGAACCCGAGGAAACCCACAGGAAACCGCCGCACGCCATTACAACGAATTCCACGTAAAGTTTAATAAATGAGGCCCCAGACGTTTTCTACCACCACAAAGAAACTCTCTGAAAACAGCTGCTTTTGTGGGTCTTACATTTAATGTTGATGCACTGATCCAGACGTGTCCAGATGTTTATGTCCTGATGCTATTTAAAGGTTCACTGTGTAACTTTTCTAGTGGGCAGGTCTTCTTTGGCAGCATCAGGTCGCCCACCCCGTCTGCTCACTCTGCGTGGAGATGTTCTGACTGTGAGTGAGGTGGCCTCTCCACAGATCTGATCTGATAAAATTTGTTACCATGGAGCTCAACAACAGTCCCGCCCACTCCCAAGTCCGCTCTGGTTCCAAAAGTTCCCAAAAATTCAAATATTAGTTTAAAGACACGGCGCAGTCCATAACACATTTAAAACTTAAACGTCAGTGAAATTTTTCATAACTCGGGTCTTTAAAGTTTCAGAAAGTGAATTTTCATTAAATTTTAAGTCCTGTGGTCAGTCGTTGCACTGAGCCGAGAGGAACGAGCTTTCAGACCTTTAATTCAGATTTTTTTCACTGTTCAGCTCCACGCTCCCACACACTTTGAAATCTGTTCATTTTCCATTCAGTTTTCCCATAGACCTTTAAAAAAATGTAAATATTAACAGTTTATAGTGTCATAGTCAAGAGCGCACTTACCTGAGACCAGGACAAGACCAAGACTTTTAAATGCTGAGACTGAGACAAGACTCACCAAGGCCCACTGAGACTAAATCAAGACCGTCTTTGTAATTTTCAACATTTATTGATATTTTACAGTTATTTTTGGCACAAATATATCAATGTTATTATAAATCTATCTCCATTTTATCACTTGTCAAGTGTCAGAACTCGAGACCGAGACAAGACGAGTCTAAATATGGTCGAGTCCGAGATGAGACCAAGACCGTGAAAAATCTTCTTGTGGTCAGTCTCAAGACCAAAACTGGTCTTGAACACTACGACACTAGTTTAAAGACATCACGAAGGCTCACTCCAGCTACATACACAGCAGAAAGTTTGAACATTTTCTCAGAGTTTATCTGAGTCACTCTGTTCTAGAGTTAATTTAACACTTGTGTAAATGTTCATTAAGTGACACTGGACCAAAGTTTCTGTTTAACTCCAAATCCAGAGTAATATGAACGTTTAGAGAGAAAACAGATAACACTTTGTGGAGTTATCCTGATTTAACTAAACAACACATAGAGGTGTTTTATTTGAGTTAATTTAAGATAAAATTATGAACAAAACTGGTTCAAACTGGTTCTTCTCTGGAGGGAGTTTGAAGTGGAGGAGACAAATTAACACTAAGAGAAGTTGAATTAACTTAAACCAAATCAGCTCTGACAAATCACCCCAACTCCAACACACATTTAACTTTCAAAGAGTTAAAATAACACTTTTTGTGTTAAAAACAACTTTACCCTGACATTTTAACCCCATTAACTCCGATCTGTAACGTTGTTGATTTAAGTTTAAAAGGCACATTTAGAACAGAGGAAAGTCTGTGGGAAAGTGAGTGTTAAATGAACTCTGTGGTTCTGTTGCTGTTTCCAGGAAAATCCAGAACATCTCCATGAAGCAGATCTGTGGAAAAGTTTCACATTGCACCTTTAAGAATCGGAGTGGGACGTGAGTGATCCCAGAGCAGAGGCTGGAAGCACAGCTCCGTTTCTGTACCCAGATCTTCAAACTAAACCGTATGTTCTTTAGCTGTTAGTCTGAGGAGAGGTTTTGTATTCTGTTTTTAAACACGATGTACTTGAAATTTACATATGTTAAAAAAAACAACTATTTATAGACAGTATTTAACCTTCCTTTACCTCCCGGCCAAACTCTGAATAATTGGAGGTAAAGTTTGTTCCAGATTGATGAAGACTGGAGTTTGAGGACAGAAGATCCAGAGGAGAACAGGTTCTGACTGTGTTCAGTGCGACACGTTCATGAGGACAGAGCACAGACTGAAGAAGATGAGTTCTGTGGATGCGACACCTCCCACAGCGTTCAGCTCCAGGCAAACGAAGCTCATCGAGGGGAGCGGCTTCAGGAGAGACTCTGGAGCCAGGTCCGTGTTAGGAAGAGGAATTTATTCACAGACAAAATGGAGAAATAAAAACACCAGGATCATGTAGAGCAGATTAAAGTAGAGTGACCAGTGTCCCAGCAGATTTATACAAAACCAGTGATTTGTCCCAGTTTTATACAAGAAATGTCCCAGATGTTTCTATTTATGACCAATCTGAGACTTAAACTGGCATTTGTTTCGGTAAAATACAAAAAAAATCTGCTTAAAAACAACAAAAAACAAAGAAAATGTGACTATACTGACTCATGAAAGGTTTCTGCTTGTGTTGTAGTCAAGCCCGCACTAATCGAGACCAAGACCAGTCCCAGACCACAGGGTCCCAAGACCAAGACCTGAGGGTCGAGACCGAGACAAGACCGAGACTTTAAAAGACTGAAACCAAGACAAGACCGAGACCACGGCCCATCGAGACCAAATCGAGACCATCTTTGTCATTTTCAACATTTATTTGTATTTTACAGTTACTTTGGCACAAATATATCAATTTTTAAAAATAAATCTATCTCCTTTTTATCACTGATCGAGTGTCAGACCTCGAGACAAGACCGAGTCCGAACATGGTTGAGTCCGAGACAAGACCAAAACCGCAAAAACCTGTCGAGGCCAAAACTGGTCTCGATAACTATGACACTAGTTTCTGCAGAACAGTTTCCTTAATTTCTCACTCGTTTCACAATTTAATTATTACCAACCACCAAAAAAAATAAAAACTGCGATGCCACAGTTTTTTATTTTGAAATTCTGGTCACTCTAGGTTAATACTGAGTACAAAGTGAAGTGGAGCAGGAAGAGCCCCCATGCTCACTTCCTTTAGGAACATACAAAAATATAAACAGTCTATGGTCCAGATTCATGACAGTACAGGTCTGTCACGATTTTCTTCATATGGGCCATGTTTTTATGGAGTTTCATAAAGTCAAAGTTCTTATCAACCCGCTCTACATGATCCTGTTTTTTTTTTTATTTCACTTTTGTCTGTAAATAAATTCCTTTTCCTGATACGGAACCGACTTTGGGTTTGGGTTAGTACTCATGTAACTGCAGACCTCGATGAGCTTCATTTGACTGAAGCCGAACGCTGTAGGTGACGTCTCACTCCCTCAGACCTGCGTGAAGTCGCCTTCATCAAACGCACAACTACAAAAACTACACCAGTCATTTGTGCTGCTTTAGTTTTGCAAATATTAACAATTCTTTTACAGGTCAAACTGGGGTCAGCAGCTTCAAAATGCTCCAAAATGACACAAAATGGAGTCAGACGTTTGTGCTTCGTTTGTGTTTGGTTTGTGTGATTCTGGTTCTTAAGATCTGAACAGTTTTATTTTAGTCGATGACGTCGTTCAGCCCCACAAAATGTGAAACAGCCTCAAAACAACAGAAAATTAAACCAAACATTTGTATTTGGTTTGTGTTGTTTTGTGTGTGTCTGTTTTCATTTGTGTGAGTTTATTTCTAAAATTATTAATATTGTTTTTGTGTAAATTATATTTTGGTCATTTCTGTTCAGCTGACGACAACAAAACTCCACAAAACGAGTGAAGAGAAACGACCTGAGGCTGTGGAAAAGTCTGTGATTATAGAAAATATGAATCAAAAGCAAATTATTAAAGGCTGATCCAGATTTTTCCACAGACTCGGGTCGTTTCTCTTCACAAAAACAAAGGTTTGGTTTAATTTTCTGCTGTTTTGAGGAGCTGGACGACGTCATCGACCCAAAATAAAACTGTTCATATTTTCCCACGCTCATGGAAATCCTAGAAAAGTTATTGAAGTTTGTGAATTCAGTGAAAGTTTTGGAAAAGTCCTGGAGTTTTAGTCTCTTTTTCCCTCAGCTCCAGTGTTCTGTTCAGTTTTCATGAGTCTGTTCTGATTATTTCTGAACGTCTGAGTCTTTTGTTTAAAGAGACGACAATAAATGCACTGACAGGATTTAAAATGTTCAGAAACTATGATCCCAAACCATAAGGTGAGAGGAAAGAGTTCAAGTCTGATCAGTTCTACACATGTAGGTGCTGGAAATTCATGGAAAATTCACTTTGGCTCATGGAAAAGTCATGGAAAAGTTTGGAAATTTCGTCAGTGAACCAGAATCACACAAACCAAACTTTTTACAGCACAAACGACGCACAAACGACTGACGTAGTTGTTGTGCAGTTGTGTGTTTGATGGAGTCGACCTCACACACTTCGTCTCCGTCTGTGCTCGTCACTGTGAGCGGCTCGTGTCTCCACAGACCTGACTCTCATTTATCCTCCTCCCGCTCGTTTCCTTTGGCTGAAATAGTCCACAACACACCTGTCTGCACAGAGAATGTTCCGAAGTACAGCTTTACCTTTATGTTTCCATGGAGTCATGCATCTCCAGAAAGTTACACCCTGTAGCTTTACGTTTTTAAGTTTGTTTTAGTTCGTTCAGAAAAGGGTTACAGTTTTTAATTTTTACATTTTTTTCTATATTTTCTGCAGTTTTGTGTGATTGCGACGGCCTCCACAGGAACTTTTCACACACTACGGAACATTTTAGTTTATTCTTGACTAAACCGTATTTATTTTTGGTTTGTTTTATTCAAAGACCCGGGGCTGTGGAGCTTCTCACGGTCCATGTCTCTGGTGTTTTTTGGCGTGGGTCATGAGCTCAGGGTCGGACACACGACTGTCGGCATCTCAACACAACTTTTGTAACCGCGGCAACAAGTCTCTGACACACCGGAGGATGCAACGTTCCTTTTTAGAGTTTATATTTTATACAGAGGATAATTCTATCTCCAGTCCGTGCACTTTTATTTACAAAGGATATTTTCAGGAAGTGTTTGTTTGTCACGCCCACAGTTCCCCCTCCGGACTGCAGGGGGCGCTCTACTACTGTTACTCTTCTGGATGTATCACAGCAGATTTTTGAAGTAGTCAAGTCCAAGTTCTGTTTAGTATTTTTGGAATATTTGAGTTTGTAAATGTATCTTTGCTGGTGTAAAATGATCAAAATAAACTTCTTTTACTTAGTCTGAAAAGCGGCTCTGGACCTGCTCGTGTCTGTGCTTCACCACGTGCACCTGCGCGCTCCGAACACGAGATGGCGCTGTGCTGTCAGTGAGTCACAGCGCGGCTCCTGTGGCTCCTGTAGCTCCTGTGGCTCCCGCAGACCTGAGCTAAACTCTGCTGCGGCTCTTCTCCTGCGGCTCTTCATGTTTCTGCTGCTTCTTCTGTGTTTTTCTTCGGGGTTTTATTTCCAGGTAGGAGCGGATGCTGAGTGCGTGCCCACGCGTGCGCGCTCCCGCTCCCTCCCTCTCTGCTGAGCCTCGTGTGCGCCACACATGCTTGCGCGCGCGCACATCCTGCTCCTGTATTTCGGTCGCGCTGGTCCGGGGCTCGCGGTGATGCCAGTGTGATGCCAGTGTGATGCCAGCGTGATGCCAGCGTGTCCAGCGGGAGAATGGCGTCGCGCGCGGCTGCCTGGGTGACGCGCGCTGCCGGCCTCGCGCTCTCCGGTTCATTTCTGTCCGTTTTGTGATTCCTGGGCGCGCGCGGTCTGCCGAGAACCACAAGCCTCCCGCTCCATGACGGTGGAACATGTCCTATGTTCCCTTCCAAGGTAAGACACGTCCCCCTGTCCCCGTGTCCCCCTGTCCTCTGTCCTCTGTCTCACTGTCCCCGTGTCTCTCTGTCCCTGTCCCTTCGGACGCAGCGACAGGTGCGATCCTGTCCCCCGCGGTCTGTGCCCACACGCGCGCACATACAGCGCAGCGTGTGGCCGCGTGTGTGCGCGTGCCGCATCACACTGGAGTAATGTGTGTGCGCGTGGCGTGACTCTGTCATTCACAGAAGCTCAAGAAGCTCAAGAAGAGCACTCACGGACCCGGGCCTCGGGTCCTCAGGGTCCTCTGTACTCTGTACTCTAGTCTTATGTACTCTGGTCCTGTGGCTCTTTGGTCCTGTGGCTCTTTGGTCCTGTGGCTCTTTGGTCCTGTGGCTCTTTGGTGCTCTGACTCTCTGGTGTTCTGGTCTTCTGTACTCTGGTCCTGTGTGCTCTAGTCCTCTGGTCCTCTGACACTCTGGTCCTGTGGTGCTCTGGTCATGTCAGGGAGCAGGAGCTGGTGGAGTGTGGCTGAGTGTAGATGTGTGTAGATGTGTGTAGATGTGTGTGGTTGTGTGTGGTTGTGTGTGGTTGTGTGTGGTTGTGGTTGTGGTACAGTGTGCGGTTGTGAGCAGCTCGAGCCGCTGTGAGAGGAGCCGGAGCCTGAAGAGCTCAGTGAGCGGCTCCTCGGCGGCTCTGTCCGCGGCTCCTCGGTGGTTGTGTCGGGCCGCGCGGCCTGCGCTGCCCCCGGCTCCACGGGCCTTATGTAAAACTTTAGCCCAGTGCGCACCCGCCTCCCGCGCCCCGCTGCTGCCGGAGCCGCGTGCACAGTGAGTGGGTGCGAGGTGCCGCTTCTCCATCACCGCAACTGTGACTAATGCCGCGAGCCGCGCGCCGCAGCACAGCGCCTGCGCACACGCACGCGCACAACGCTGCCGGGGTCCGCGTGCGGGGGTGAGGGGGGGTGAACACCTCAAACATCTGACTCGAGTTTAAAGTTCGACCACGTGATCTGCTCATGTTACCATGGAAACCAAGAGTCAGGGGACGCCTCTCCACAGCTCAGGAAAACTACAACCACATGCTGTGTGCCTCCTGTCAGCGGGGCCAGGGCACCTGCCAGGACTGATGCCAGGGCACCTGTCAAGGCTGGTGCCAGGGCACCTGTCAAGGCCATGGCTGTGACAGGTGCCTCTGTTCTAGAGTCATGATAGAATCATGTAAACAGCACCTGTCCACAGGTTTAAAGCCACATGCTCCCTCACACCTGACCCCTCCCCCTCACCTGACCCCTCCCCCGGCCCCTGCTCTTCACCCGGCTCTTCTCCTGTCAGGTCACAGCGGGCACACTGTCAGACAGCAGTAACATAGGCAGCCTCTGGTGGGGGTGTGAGACGCTGCAGGGCCGTGTTGCTTTGAGTCATGAGACAGTTTCATGTTTTGTTTCATGGACTTGACACAGCCGCCCTGGGGCAGACTGAGGACAGAGTGGCTGCTGATCTGCTCCTGTGGCAGTTCAGACATGGTAAATGGAGTGTGTTGCCAAAGGGCACAGTGACAGTGTTTGTCACAGTGTGTCTTGTGTTCTCCTGCAGATGTTCCACATGTTTCAGTGATTCTGTAGGTTCCTCTGAGCTCACAGCGCCACCTGCAGGTGTCATCATGTTCTGCTCCTCTGTGTTTTTAAACTCACGGCCACAGCGGCTCGTTAAAGTCTGATCCTGTCAGATCCCAGAAGCTCAGGGGCCTGGAACATCAGGAGGCACCAGAGCAAAACACTGGTGTTGTGTCCTTAGGCAAGACACTTCACGCACACTGCCCTGTATGAAAGTGGAGTGTGTGTGAGTGATGGATGCATGTCTGAGTAATCTAGCGCTCTATTATTCGATTCAAACCCTTCTTACTGTTAACAGTATGAGCTGAACTGTACGAGACTCCGCCCCCATGCTCCACATGACAACTCCACAAACACACAAGTACAACACAAAACTGAACAGCAGCAGGACAAACCTGACGCGCACGAGTTTCATGAGTGTGACGCTCTGAAGGGGGAGTGACTCAGCGCGGGGAGCAGAGAGACGGGTTATGATGTGATGATACGTTCTGTGTGACAGGAAATGTCCCGTAGAACCTCTGCAGGTTCCACGACTTTCCTCTGGGCGTCTCCTGTTTTTTTTAGTGAAACGTGAAAGTTTCTCCAGATTTTTACGGTTTTATTTGATGAAAAACTAAATAAAACAAAACACAATCTGCTGTTTTCAACACAACCACATTTAAAAGATGAACAGCGAGTGTGGAGGCTCCTTCAGTCGTCACTCTGCTCGTCTTCCTCCTGCAGAGCTCAGGACGATCATCAACAACAACAACATCAGTCCCTCAGCGTGTGACGCTAACTGTGCGCACTGCTCTGTCTGACGCTTTGTTCAACTTTAATCTGACTTTTATTTTAACACAAACTGATCATAAAGACCTGAGCTCCAACAGGTGAGAGGATCTGTGCAGTTAAACACGACCTTCTAAAGAACATCAGACACAGGCTCGTGTCTTTCACCTTTCAGCGTAAAATCAAACTCTTAAACTGGACACGGAAGGAAAATGTCTCTTTAAATCACTTTTATATTATTTTATGTTGAGTTTTCAGATGAACTTAATCTTTTTTGTCAGTGTTTGCTCGTGTGTGATTTGTGTCACCATGGTAACCGCTGCACATTCCCCCATTAGACACACATGTAGAACACAGGAATCGTTTCAATGTACAGAACTGTAAACTGACGGCCCGTGTCTGAGTCCTGTTTGGACCGTGGTTCTGACTCGGTGCTGTGGAGCTGCTCTGGGGTCAGCCGTTCTCAGAGATCCGTCGATACGATCCCGGTATCGGATATCGGTGCAGATATTGAACCAGACCAACTTTATTTATCAAGCACTTTTAAAACTCTACAGTTGGTCAAAGTGCTGCACACAAACACAGAGCAGACCAGGACAATCGCAGTAGAAGAAAATACACAACACAAACGCAACACAACAACTAAAAACACAGAAAACAGTGAGATATTCAACAAGAAATGTGCATGTCACTTGTTAAAGTCAGTGAGAAAAGGTGAGTTTTTAGGAGTGATTTAAACACAGGTGCAGATTCGGGCTCTAATCTCTAACGGCGGCTGGTTCCAGAGTCGAGGAGCAGCAACAGAAAACACACGGTCCCCACAAAGCTCACGTTTAGTTTTGGGGACGGGAGCTGGAGCTGGTCGAGAGCGCGAGGGGGCGTGACGTTTTGATGGATCAGGTTTCGGTTCAGTCGGTTTCTCATCTCGGTGAATAAATCGGTGTAGTCAGAGTCTCAGTCTCTGGACGGTGTTGGACCAAAATACGTCGTAATGTTGAGCGTGTGTTTTTGTTTCAGAGCCGTTCTGTGGGGACTCGTCGTTTTTTCCCACACGTCGTTTGTTTAAAGTGAATCGTATTTTCAGTGTCGTATCGGATCAGATCGAGAATCACCAGACGCTTAAAGCCAAAGAATCGACATCGACCTTAAAACAGAAACAACTCCAACTCAGAGTGAAACAGTCGAGCTGTGTGTGTGTGTGTCTGTGTGTGTAAAACGTTTGACTGAAGCACTTCCTGACTCACTGTGCTCGTGTAAAAAAGTCTGATTGGTTTGATCTGTTTTCCAGTGGTTGAGTTGAGTTTGTCGTGTGACTCGTGTGTCGTTGTTTCCTTTAAGTTTTGTTCTTTCTTCTCTTGATATTTGTGGATAAATTGTTCATGAAGAATGTTTCTCCTTTGTGGAGTTTGTTGGTTGAAGATTTGGTGATGGAGCAGATTTATGAATTTACACACACATTTACACACACACATTTACACACACAGTTTGTGAGTTTGACAGTTTGACGTGTGTCTGACCCGTGTGTTTTGACCTTTGACCTGTCACAGATCAGAGTCACTGAGGGACGATGACGTCACCACAGACGCTTTAGAAAACACACAGAGATCACCCACGAACCGCCACTCAGGTCCTGTAGCTCAGGTCCTGTACCTCGGGTCCTGTAGCTCGAGTCCTGTAGCTCAGGTCCCGTAGCTCAGGTCCCACAGCTCGGGTCCCGTAGCTCGGGTTCCGTAGCTCGGGTCCTGTAGCTCATGTCCTGTAGCTTGGGTCATGTAGCTCAGGTCCTGGAGCTCAGGTCCTGTAGCTCAGGTCCCGTAGCTCGGGTCCCGTAGCTCGGGTCCCGTAGCTCGGGTCCTTTAGCTCATGTCCTGTAGCTCAGGTCCTGGAGCTCAGGTCCTGTAGCTCAGGTCCCGTAGCTTGGGTCCTGTAGCTCACGTCCTGTCCTGTAGCTCACGTCCTGTAGCTCGGGTCATGTAGCTCAGGTCCTGGAGCTCAGGTCCTGTATCTCAGTTCATGTAGCTCAGGTCCTGGAGCTCAGGTCGTGTAGCTCAGGTCCTGGAGCTCAGGTCGTGTAGCTCAGGTCCTGTAGCTCAGTTCATGTAGCTCAGGTCCTGTAGCTCGAGTCATGTAGCTCGGGTCCTGTAGCTCGGGTCCTGCAGCTCGGGTCATGTAGCTCGAGTCCTGTAGCTCGGGTCCTGTAGCTCGGGTCCTGTAGCTCGGGTGCTGTAGCTCAGGTCGTGTAGCTCAGGTCGTGTAGCTCAGGTCGGTGTGAGGGCTCAGGTCGTGGTATGCTCAGGTCCTTGTAACTCGGTCCTGTAGCTCGGGTCCGTAGCTCAGCGTCCTGTACGGCTCAGTCCGTAGCTCAAAGTCCGTAGTAGTGAGTAGGCTCAGGTCACGTGCTGTGTTGGTTTTGTAGCTCGATCCTGTAAGCTCATGCACGTAGCTCACGTCCTGTAACTCGGTCGTGTTACTTCAAGGTTCAATGTGTTGATGTTCACGTGCTTCAGTGAGACGATCCTGGGATTATGTAACCACACGAGGTGGTAGGACCCAGCGCAAGGAAGGACTTAGAAACACTACTCACACGTAGATGGAATCACGGAATATCCAAAAAAAAGCGTAGACGTAGGTCAGC